CTCATTCTTGATAGAGAGGAACGTTGGTTTGAGAGAGGAGTAAAAGAAATCATTTTTGTGAAGAAAGACTGTCCATCATTAATCAGAGGTGGATGCCTCCGTTTTCAGTTGTCCCCCTCCTACAGCGCTGCCATTGGCAGTATCACTCCACCCCTGTTAACAATAGCTGTTAGTTAGGTGTGAACGATAGCCATGTGATGTGAGTATCAGTCACCTGGAGGCAGGACTCAAAAGCCTGAATTTTGCCTGAAACTCTCAGACTGAAGAAGTCTCTTGGAAGAGAGACGAAACTTTTCATTAAAGAAGAACCCGTCCAGAGGACCTATACAAATTTTTTTTCCTTTTGATTTTTTACCTGGATTACTGAGATGCATCAGGACGCTCAAACAGCTAATTCACGGGATCAGCCCGGGCGATAGGTTTGCGACCATCGATTTAACAGATGCCTATTTTCACATAGCGATTCACCCGGRGCACAGAAAATATCTCAGGTTCGCCTTCGAGGGTGTAGCCTACAAGTACGTGGTGCTACCGTTCAGTTTATCACTAGCTCCTCGCACCTTTTCAAAGTGCGTAGAAGCTGCTTTGAGTCCCCTCAGGGAAAGAGTGGTCCGTCTGTTAGCATGTTTAGACGACTGGGCTCTGATCGCAAGCTCCAAAGAAGCAAACATTAGATCAGCTGTCTCAGGTTCTGTCACACATTCAGGCTTTAGGGTTTTTAGTAAACTCCCAGAAAAGTCTATTAACACCAAGTCAGCAGTTTTCGTTCCTCGGACTAGAAATCTGCTCCTTGTCAAGCAGGGCTCGCCTCTCAGAAAACAGAGCGGCCGCGTTTCACCGCTGCTTAGCTCAGTTTCAACTGGGATGCAAACTGAGCTTCAAAATCGAACTACAGTTACTGGGAATGATGGCTTCCGTGATTTCAGTAGTACCACTCGGGCTGTTAAAAATGCACCATTTTCAGCATTGTTCTCAGTCCTACAGGCTGTGTCCGTCTCGACACAGACACAAAAAGCTAACAGTAACTGCTTCCTGCATGACGGCTCTCAGCCCCTGGAGGGAACCCAGTCTCCTGTATCATGGTTCTCCAATAGGGAGGGTATTGTTTCGCAAAGTGGTGTCCACAGACGCCTCCCTGAAAGGTTGGGGAGCCCTGTGCGACGGTGCGGCGGTGAGGGGAACCTGGACTCCACAACAGTCCAGGCTCCACATAAACTGCCTAGAATTGTTAGCAGTCCTGTTAGCACTGAAACATTTTTGTCCAGTTCTGGAGAACCATCATCTTCTAATCAGAGTGGACAACACAGCAGTGGTCTCTTATATAAACAGACAAGGGGGTACTCAGTCCCTTCCCCTGCTGAACCTGTCTCTCACTCTTTTACAGTGGAGCGGTGTTCATTTTCTGTCTATCGGAGCCATTCATGTTCCGGGGAGACTGAACCTAGGTCCAGACCACATCTCCAGGGGCGGACCTCTAGCAAAGGAGTGGAGGCTGCATCCCACTGTGGTGGCCCAGATTTGSKTTTTGTTTGGCAAAGCGACAGTAGATCTGTTTGCCTCCAGAGCAAACACACACTGTCCTCTGTTCTTTTCCATGACAGAACAGAGCGCTCCTGTGGGAATGGACGCCCTAGCTCATCCTTGGCCCGATGTACTTCTGTATACGTTTCTCCTGTCTTTGATCCTAGTGGCACCCCGCTGGCCAGCGAAGTCTTGGTACGCCGAGATAATCAGCTTGCTAGCAGCTCAGCCCTGGCAACTTCCAGTTCGACGAGATCTCTCTCAGGCAGAGGGGGAGATTTTTCACCCACACCCAGAACTATGGAAGCTGCATGCTTACCTGCTGAAAGGTCCAGCTTATTAGCCAAAGGCCTTTCTCCAGCAGTAATAGCAACTATCCAAAACGCAAGAGCTTCATCCACTAGAGGATTATATTCCTATAAGTGGCAAGCTTTTGAGTGATGGTGTAAGAACGTGCACCAGGACCCTTTTCAGTGCGCAATAGGAGATGTTTTAACATTTCTTCTGGAGCTACTGGATAAAGGGCTCTCCTTCTCCACAATTAAAGTCTACTTAGCAACCATTTCTGCCTGCCATATAGGTTTTGATGGAGTCACACCTGGTGCTCATCCTTTAGCCGTGTGTTTTCTGAAATGGGTTCGTAAGCTACGGCCTGCTATTAAACCCAGTATTCCCTCTTGGGACCTCACTGTGGTTCTTGAGGCTCTCTGCGACCCTCCATTTGAGCCTCTAGAGTCTGTAGAGTTGAAGTTTCTTTCATATAAAGTTGCTTTGCTTCTGGCTTTAGCTACAGCTAAACGGGTCGGGGACCTCCACGCTCTGTCAGTGAACCCCTCCTGTATCCAGTTTTCTACTAATGACTCTAAAGTGGTTTTGCACCCTAACTCTGCATATCTTCCTAAGGTGATACCTTCTAGTTACAGCTCTATGTCCATAGAGCTTTCCGGCTTTCTTTCCACCCCCCCTTTGCATCTGAGGAGCAAAAGAGGCTGCATCTTCTGTGCCCCTTACGTGTTCTACGCACTTACATCAGTCGCACACAGGATGTAAGGTCATGTGATCAGCTGTTTGTGGCTGTTGCTAACCTACACAGAGGTAAAGCTCTTTCTAGACAAAGACCCTTTCACTGGTTTATAGAGGCCATCTTGCTAGCATACAGTAGCAAAAACATTCCAATCCCTCTTGGAGTTAAAGCTCACTCCACCAGGGGTGTAGCGACATSTTGGGCCCTTTTTAAAGGGGTACCTATGAGTGACATTTGTGCCGCGGCCAGCTGGGCCTCACCAAACACATTTGCACGATTTTACAGCCTGGATGTAACAGTAACTCAGTTGAAATGTCTTTTAGAGTGGTCATATTCATATGATGCCAAACATCACCTTGTTTTTTTTTCTTTTTGACCTTTTGTGTCAGTCCTCTTTGCCACACACAAGGTCACGAGTGTAACCCCTACACAGAAAAACACTCAGAAACCCTATCTTCCAGCAAAGAGAAGTTTGAGTGGCGGGTTGATGGAATGACGCTTTCTGATTGTGCCGATAATGGAATCCTTGTGTCATTGCAGATAGTGCCTCAGGAAATGGCAGAGAATTGCTTCTGGATCAAAGTCAAAGAAGAGAAGTTTGAGAATCCCGATTTATTTTCCCAGCTCTCCCTCTGCTTCTCCTCGCAGAGTAAAGGTAAGAAGGTGTCATCTCTCTCTAATGCAACCTTAATTAATCCTCACACACAGGTTTCATTTAGCCCAGGGTTCTTTTATCCTGCGACATGTCTTTTTCTCACTAAAATGTTAATTATCTCAAAATCAAACTTTTTTTCCAACACTCCTGAACATCATCTCTCTATGCTCAGTTCATATTTCTTTGCCAGGCAGTGAAACCATTGCTTTTGTTGCAGTATGTGTCTTTGAGAGAGCTAAAAAGATAACTGTTGTATCACTTTATCTTTCATTGAGTTGTTACGAATCCTTTTTTATTTACTTTGTTGCACAAACTTGAACTTGAACATATACTGTATGTGTGAAGCCGAGCAGTTATGCTTGGTTCGCTCCCTGCCTTTTCCAGTTCAGTAGACCAATCCTGTATCAGAGTAGATGCAAGGCTTTGCTGAAGGAAGCTTTGGGAGTTTACTTGTCGCAGCCAGTTTGTTTCTCAGATACACAACCAGTCAACTTGACTAGCTTATGGATAACAGGAGTAGTGCAGAGCAATTTTTTTATGTGGAAGAGATGGTGTAGGAAGGCATTTGATGTTCCTCCCCCAATGACAATTTGATTGTTTTCCTCTTCTTTGACAGTGAGTGTGTACACCCCTCTAATTCTAGCAGCAGTGGGAGGGGAAAAGTCCATGCTCTGTCAAGCGCAGAAGAGTAAAACCGTAGCTCTGTCAGCATGCGTGGACATAACTATTCTGAATTCACCCAGTTTTTCCATACACCCGGCGTCTATTTGGACACCATTCGGGGTGCCAACAGTTTCTTGCTCATTTTTTGTTGCAGCCTCCAGTTTCCACAAACTAGACTCATCCCGTTTTTTATTTATTTATTTATTTTTTTTTGTGCAAAATCAACAACGATTTTCCAAAAGCTGCTGCAGTGTGATTTTCCAGCATAATACAGATGGAAAGAGGATGTGGCTGGGAAGGAACAGTTGTTGCAAAGCTTAATGAAGTGGCAGCGATAGACCCAGCAGCAGCTTTCTTTATGTTTTTTCGTGGCAGATATTTGCCAGGCACCATGTTTCCTACACGCACCCTTTTTGTTTGCTTGTTTTTGGACAAATTGCAATTAAGGAGTCAGATGTTTATAATAAATGCAAATCAGTACAAAAAGAATGTTGTGACGTTAAACTTGAGATATATTACTGCCTAACATTTGTAGTTTTGCAACACATGGCTGTAGTTCATCTTCAAACGGCCTTTTAAATTCTTTATTAACTTCACTTTCTTGCCCACTGGGGATAAAGAGAAAAAAAAAATAGAAAAAAGCTCAATAGATAGTCCATGTTCCCGCTGGCATGGTAGGAATTCATGATCCAGCATTCCCCCTGGGAGTTACCTTTGCTGGATCCCTATCAATTATCCCTGCAGCGACTTCACTGAATCAGCTCTTTTCTCTCTATTGTTGAAACAGAACATGATTTTCTCATGAATGAAAAATGCTGTTTAATGTTTGATACCTACCCCCAACCCCGTCAGTGGAGTTGAAAGTCAATGAAGAGCGCTTTGATCTATATGGTATTACAATTTAAATAGAAAAAAAAAGTGCTGGATGGATTTACCTAAAATAAGGAAGTCGTTCCTTTGTTTTCCTCTGTTCCATGTTTCATAATTCATTCGGAATCACTGAATATATTGCATGTACGAATAGTTGTAGTTAAACATTCAACATTTTGTCAACAAGATTTACATCTATTTTGAATAAGAACTATTTGTGGCTTTGAGTTGAAGCCGGTGCAGTATTTTGTGGGTGTAGCTGAATTTTTAATTTGTTTACGTGCACAAATATATACATAAATGTATTGCTAGCTATTACTTGCTAAGCCATTGTTTTTTTTAGCTTGCTAAGCTATTGCTTTTTATTGTCCCCCCTCATGTTTGCCACAAGATGTGGATATTTATACGTAAAACACACTTTGGGGCCTAGTGTATTGTGAAAGATGAGGCAAGCAGGTGTAAATGCTTTCCCTACAGAGCTGCCCTCGGAAAATGGTGCAGAAAAAAGTTGTCTGTTATCTCCACCTTCCTTGGGATTCTTGCTTGTTACTGGCATTGTTGAAGAGCAACACTTTGGCAGTGACAGAAAATAAAGGAGGGAAAAAGAAAAGAATCACTTTAACGGCCCCCAATTTTCAAATGCTTATTGCGCTCAAAAGCCTCTAAAACAACTGAGAAAGCAAGACTGTCACATCCCCTGCTGCTTTTATAGGTCTGGCTGTTTAATGAGTTTCACCAAGAAAGGAAATGGAAATCTAGAGGCGTGCCAAGCTTGGTTTCAATTTTCAAAGAATACCTATTCATTTATTCATTCATTCATTCATTGGAAATATATTTAAGTCCAAACTTGCAGCTTGTCTTGGATTTTCTGGTGATTCTGGTGACTGAAAGAACCAGAAAAGTATATAAAAATATGAGAAATGTAGTAAATGTTTACGTTTGTCAAAGTTAGTAGATCATGAAGATGCCTACCTAACTTTTGCAGTGATTCTGATTCTATGTGTTTTTTGGGTTGTGTCTGTAATGTCAGTAATTAGGTTTGAAATCAACATACAACTCAGCAGAACAAAAGCTTAGCAGCAGCTTTGATCAGCTCACACACTCAGTTGTTGTGTGTTCTCCGGAGTGTTCCACGTTATGTTTTACCCCCAGGCCCTTCTGGACATTTTCCGAACTAGTGAGCTTGCTGGTTAAATGCTGCAAACAGTCTGTTGTGGTTTGTGTTGATGTTTTTTTTTTTTTCAAGAAAATCTCGTCAGTGGGTTTGTGAATAAGAATCTGAGCGTCTCACACTTAAGTGAAATAATTTTATTTTTTACTCTAAAAAATACAAGACACTTGATTGCTTTTTTAGCAGTTGGTTTTCTCCTTCTGTTCAACCTTTTTACATACTAATAGTGTGACTATTACATTGGACTGTGTCCATTAAGTTGTAGTGATTAAAGCAAAAAATAGTGCATCGGTTTTTAGTATTAACAAGCACAAGTTAAAATTAATTATTTTTTTCATGCACGTGCAGTAAAATAGCACATTATCTTTAATTGTGGCAAACAGTTTTGTGAAATCTGAAATTAAACACCTACTTTTAATTAGTAATTAGTTGTAGATGTACAACCGATGAGTCATTTCTTAGAGTTTCATTCAAATTTATCCACTGATTAAAGGTATATTTTGCTAACACAACAGACAAACACACAATGCACATAGATGCAGACAAAATCATTATTGCTTTTTGCCACAATTTATAACAAATATATATATATAAACAGAAAAAAATGGGTTTTCAAGTTCTTTTTAAATAAAAGTTTAATGTTGAGCTTTTATGAAAAAACAATAACTTAGTAAATAATATTTCTTTAAAAATAATAAATAAAAAAATAGAAATTGTGATTTAAAACGGCGCCACAGAATACATTTTTTATTTGTACATTATTCTAGTGCATCTGTTAAGGACATAGCAATCATTTCCTTCCCTTACATCAGCCTCATTTGAATGGCATGCTGTGCAAGCTGTATCTGATTTTCCAGTGTTTAGAATAAAGCTTCTTTTTTTATTTTCAGTTAGCTGAAAATTTGTTAAAGATACATCTCAGTCACGGATGTCAAGGTTACATAGACATACCTTTGGAGCCGCTGTGTGCTTTGTGATCATAAAACTGTTACCACCCACACACACACAGATGTATGAAAAAAATCTGTTATCACAAACAGACATCTCGTTTTTCTTTCTGTCGCCAACCTGGTTTTTCCACATTTTTACAATTTGTGTACGAGGCTTTAAATGGGCCCAGCAGAACAACCTGCTCCTACGAGTTATTTTATTCTCCCTTCAAACAGTGTATTCCTTTTTACTTTTGTTCCTCCTTTTTTTTCTTTTCTTTTATGCATTTACTTTGCTGCATCCTATCTTTCTCCACACTCCTCTACTTTGACTCAAGCCTTTTTTTCCTGCTTCTTCTTCTCTGCTCATCTTCCCTCTCTGTGCTTTATCAATCAGTGGGTTGTGCTTTTGTATGGCTCATGGGATCAAATCAGATTCACTCTGGGATTGAATGCGTGTAGCCATGGCCTCCTGCATTTGAAAGCCAATTCATTCAGCTGGAACTTTGCAGTTCAATTTGAAACAAGATTGATGTTGGCAAACTTCACACCCCCTCTCCTCCAAAATGTTTCCTCCATTGCCCACATCAATTGCTGACGGACAAAGGGCATGTGCCACTTTGTAATGGTGATTTTTGTGCTTCTCAGCAGAAACAGCACAAAGGAAGGATGCTGCTTTACTCAACAGCGGTGGAACGCCATCAGTAACTGTCCTTTGTAAATGTTAAATCACTTTTTGATGATTTATTACAGCACACTAGTTATTTATCTTATTTTTGTCCTATATTCAGGAATGAATCCCAAATAGTGTTGTTTTTGACTGCCATTTTAATTTTAGTCTTAGTCTTTTGACCAAAAATACTTCTTAGTTTTAGTCAGTTTTAGTCATTTCTATATTTAATGGTTTTAGTCGAGTTTTAGTCGACAAAAGCTTAAAAAATTGTTTAGTTTTAGTCTTAAAAAAGACAACATGTTAGTTTTACAAATTAATTTGAGATTTGTGTTAACATTTGTGAATTTGTGTTACTCTAAAAATGCCCAAAACAAAAACATTCTCACTTTGTGGCTTCATTTCTCAGAATTTGCTAAAGTGCAATGAACATACGCCAAAAAAAAAAAAAGAAGTTTTACTTTCGTCATGAACGTAAACAAACAGCCTTTAAGCTCAGAATGGACCTGCGACAGCTTTTAATGGTGGAGACGTTACTCCCTGGTTAAACTACAGGTGACGGACAACCCTTTTTTTTGTGCGAAGCAGCGCAGGCTGTTTGTCTTCCTTCTTTACTGAATGAGAGGAGGAAATGTTCTGTGCTGCTGTGTGTGCGCATGTGTGTAACAGTGCTGATGTCCCTCCCTCCACGCTGCAT